ACTGCTGACTGATGCATTCTACCAGCAAACAGAATGCTAATCAGATGCCAAAGTTGTTGGGTTGCAAAGCACAGATAGGGACTCTATTAAGCATGGGGCAGCAGATCCTCCAAAAGTCTTATAAAAAATAAATTTAGTGGAATTAAAAGCAGCAATGAAATGCACAGCTCAAGCCCTAAAATTCACTTCAAATTCATATTTACAAAATGTCAGAAAGCAACAACAAACCACATAACTGAATCATTAAGGTGGAACCACAGAGCAAGGATGTAAATAGTGACACTTTTTTTCCTATGCCTTCATCTGAGTCTGTTGATCAAAAAAACCTATACCCAAGCAAAAAGTAACACAGTTAGGCTGGCTATTTCACTACACAATTGAAGCTGGTGAACAGTAGCTAAATCCAAAAAATCATGGAATTTTTCCTGGTGAGGTCTTAAAATTAAGGTGCATCTTATACACCAAAGTTGCATAACAAAAATTACTGAGATCACTGTAACAAAAGATGATCAAAAAGCAATCACATTTGTGTTGAAATTTGTGTCCACAATGGTATTGTTTTCTGAGAGCGCAGTCTACATACTCCTTTGTATCATGTTACACAGTAGAAAAATTCAGTAAGCTCCAAGTAGCCTTCACTACTATATCAAACATAAAATACAAGACTTAATTTCTAACCGGAGAATTCAAAAGGCCTACAGAGAGACCCTGGACTAGTTACGAGTCATGCCTTTTCTCCTATTCTGTGACTTCCAAGTTGGACAGTAGCAAATAAAAACAATGATCACTCCATATAAACCCTGATGCCCGAGTTTCCCAAAATTTATCAACCGTGCATCCTCCTGGAGATTTCATTCACTATTTCTTTAACAACTGAGTGTTATGCATCTTCACTAAAGGAAACCTGGAATTCTTCCTAGATAAACTGGTGTTGGTACAGAAGGAAAATAATCAGTTACCACAAGTCCCAACTCTCGAAGCTTTGTAGTATTATTCATTACATTTCAAACTAATGTTACACCTACATATTTTACGATTTAAAAAAAATAATTTTTAAAAGACCCTATTCTCCAATTAGGAGACATGGTAAATGAGTGGGAGCCAACCCTTTTGACATGTGCACCACAAATTAGCCCCACTTCCTCCATGAGTATCATGCTGATCCCCTTCCCCAGCCCAACTGGTTAAACTGTTTTCTGGTCCCTGCCCTGTGCTCCCTGCCCAAATTGCTCCTCTGCTTTCTGCTCCCTGTGCTATGCTCCTTGCCTGATCTGCTGCTCTGCTTTTTGCTTCCTGTCCTATCAGCCACTGTCCCCTCCCAGCTCTGCTACATGCCACACAGAGGCTGCCATACCACCACAGGATGGCCACCCCTGTGGCAAACATGGAACCTCAAATGGCAAATCTACATCAAATACCTCCTTGAGCCTATCAGAGAAACATCCCTTTATTAACTACAAAATTAAATTTCCTTTAGCTTTCCTTCCAGCTAAGAGCAGACATCCTAGAGACAGTAATAAAAAACACTGGGTTTTTGTTGTTGACAGTCCTTAAACCAGCCTTTTTACATGTTCCTAAAAAGAGTGCTATTTTTTACTTGCATTACTCCTTTTTCTTATACTCTGGCCTAAGCCCTCCCAAGAGCCTACAGAAAAAAAGCCTAATGTTTTATATGTGGTTAGGATGATGTAATTCCAAAATGTAAGTCTAACTTAAATGTAAATATTTAGTACAGTGTTCGTATAGTGACTTGCACAATAAGGTCCTCAACCCTGACTAGAGCTTACAATAATAACGATAGCTTTATTAACTAATAACAACAGCAGTAACTATCCACTTTTAGAGAACAAACTGGCACACAACTTATACTGTGTAAATTTAACTATTTCTAGGGAGATAACTTGAACTGTTTTTAGGTCTGCTGGTGTTTAATGAAAACTCCCCAGGACAGACAGAGCTCAACTGATGAGAGCACTTCACGAGCGCAGAAAAAAATCACCCCAGAAGATATAACATGCAACAGCATGACCTTCAATGCCTTTCATTTTTAAGGTCTGAGAAAGATGCATTTAGCTTTACATGTCCCATCATATCTTTACACCTTTTCTCTCCTGCAATAAATACTATTTAAAAAAAACTTAAAAAGAAAGCCAAGTGAGGAAGTGAGGAGGGGCTGTCATTTCCCCTCCCCAACACAGACATTTTCCTGGATAATATTTCTTATAGATTGTGTGGGCCTTAAGACAGGACAGCCAAATTTACCAATGCAAGTGCTCGTTCCATTAGGATCTACCCTGTTTAGATATGTGTTAGTTTAAGCTTCAATGACATGATTGAACATGGGAATAAGCATTTATCATTTGGTAGAATAGGATCTTAAGACTGATCGAAAATGTCTTAGTGAAGTTTTCTTTTTCTTTAAACAAATGGACTTTTCCATCATGATTAAATATAACAATTCTCAATTAAAAATTATTCTTCTACGTCTCTTTAACTAAGGCAGAATGTCGGCATTGCAACACTGCCCTACTATCTCGAGTAGCAGCGCGCAAAGCTGACAATCAGCTTAAAAAGGGCTGATAAAAAGATAAGAGAGATCTTGCATCTGCATCTAATGTGTGCAGAGAAGACAAAAAGAACATGAATGCTGGCCTAACAGAGCAACCTGTACTTATCTGGAGAAAATTATAGGTGAGAAAATATTTTATTAGTATTTCACAGTTTAACTTTCACTTGCCTCAGAAGGTTATTTACTGGGAGATGGAGCTAGTACAGTTGTATCTATTTACATTTAGCAACACAGAGCTAGAATGAACCACTCTTATGTCCTGCTATCGCAGACATCATCATATAATCCCTTTTATAAAGTTAAGATATCCTCTTACTTTAAAAGTTTAATAGTACTGTACTGTTTCTCTAATATTTTTTCTCTTTTAAAACTCACACCTACATAAAACATGGGAAAACTTATTATTCTTAGCAAATATAATTCTTGTAAAAATATTAAGTGCTTTTTCCTATTTAATTTTAGTAGTCTTGTTTTTGAGCAGTGATGGTTCTTGCCATAGTTCTATGTCAAACTAGTTTTTATTTTCACAGGATATTACAAGTTATTGGGGAAGGGAATCATTTTTGTAAAGTATTTATATAATTTTTACCTGAAAACTTTCCATGCTAGTTAAAAAATGTATAAATTTTGCTTCCCCACCAGCCTAAAAATAACTGAATTCACATTTTAAATGTTTATCAAGTCTAGCTCACTAACAGTACATGATCACAACTCCAGCAAAACATTAAAAGAAAGAAAAATGCAGTGGAATGGTCACTGGCTAAGAATAAGAAGCTGCTGTTGATTATCAGAAGCCAAAAGTTGACTGTCTCCACCTGCTGGAAATACACAGCGAAACATCAAGGTGCAGACTAGTAGAATGCATTTTTAGATGTGGTACATCTATCCACATTATCTTCCTTCCTAACTATACCTTTTAATTCAAAGGTTGCTTTCCCCTTTCCAACAATTCTTTAACTCTCATTAATTGGCAAAAAAAAACTCTGAGGGGGAACATAATTTCATTCCAGTGACCACAAATACCATTTCCACATGCCTTTTTGTGCTTTTGTTTGTGCCCCTTTTCCTCCCTTTAATACTCTCCAGTATCAACATTAAAACTGGGAGTTCTATATGCCAACAAACTAAAAGTGCATTCTAAAACTGGTCTCAAAGTTCACAGCACAATGCTAATTTGCCTGTTACAATGACAGTACTTTACGTATTCCCCATTCTACAGCAATTTGAAGTTACTTTGCAGGAGTTTCTTGCAACTTTTAAAACTTTTTAGATCAAGGACACATTTAAAATGGTAATTTTTACATATATACAAAAAAAATTACTTGGACATATACATAAAAATATAACTGAGCTAAACAAAGACAAAAAGAACTGTATCATCCTAGGAGGTAAGTGTATAAAAATATATTTACCTAATACCTAGAATAGTTAAAAGATGTTCTGTTCACATCCCTAACTTGTTAACAAGTAAGGTTTAACTTTTTCTAGCAGTAATCATTTTATTGAACTGTATAAAATGTTAAACTAAACATCAAACAGATGCTGTTTATTTAAAGTTTCCATTGAAACTAACTGATGAAGACTAATCTTCAAAAGATACACATACAATATGCACCACTAAGGATAAATATATTATCCTCTACCATGAAAACAAATACAAAGAAATGCCATGTTTCATACTACCTTAGTAATGTAAAAAAATAAATGCTATCAGTTTAGTTTCTGAAGTTTGATTTGCTGAAACAGTAGGATGTTTTTAAATAACTAGAATCCAATTCTATAAATCAGACACTTTTGCAATGGAACAAGTATCTATACTAGCACATCTATGGTAGCTTCTGGGCTTTTTTTTTTTTTTTTTTTTTTTTTTTTAAACTATCAACCAAAAAACAAAACCCAATTTAGTATCTTCATGTCAGCATGAAGTGCCTTCAGTTGGCAGGGTCACCATACAAAGGCATTACCTAAAATGCATACTGATAATATTGTGCATAAGTGTTACTGTTATATCAAATTCATCCAATTCAAGCACCAGATTTTGCTCCCATGAGACGCTTGAACTACAATAGCTGTAATGTAAATTAAGAAATATTATACTCTCTTTATACTCAACTGATGTTTTACATAGCAAAACAGCAACAGCAAATCTGATTTATGGCTTCACTTCCTTATTTAGGGGAGAGGGATTAAGTTTCATAAAAGGTGAGACAAAAGTTAATACTTCATAGGAACTCAGGAACAAGAAAAATCTTGTCACTCCCAGGATATTCATTATATCCAATAGAAAGGTGTTAGAGCTTTTTAATACTGTTTCCTTGGTTGTAATTTTGAACTTGCTCTTTCGGATCCAGGTTTCTTCAACAAATTTCTTGGTTTATACAAACCAAATAAACTCACGTGGTGTCCTCAAAATAATAGCAGGAGCACTTACTCATCATACTTGATATGATAAATAACTTCTTCATCAGTGTCCATACAGTCTGAATAAGATGTGGAAGGTGTACTGTCCAAATTATTTGTACTTTCTCTAGAATGATCTTGGCTTAAGTTTCCATTAGTCCTTTTGTAAGAATTGCCACTCTTTGCTTGAGCTTTACCATTCTTATGTCCCTTTTTTGCTCGGGTAACATTTTCTATGTGAGCTTCAAACCAGGCTCCAATGCTGACATCACGGGCATCCACCAATTCATTTATCTAAAAATGAAAGTTTGACAATGCGTTAATTTTTATTTTCTATAAATATGGGTAAAAAGAATAAAAAGGATAACTAGCTAAATCTTGTGCAGTCTGGGCTACACTGAGCTGCCAAGTACACCAGCACAGCTCTACTCAAAGCAGCAGGGTTGTGCTGGTGTAATTAATACCAAAATTCAGCTCTTTACATCCATTGATTTTTTTAAAAATCCATTTTGTGCTTTTAAGGTATCCATGTTTTGTTCCTCTGTAGTAAAATCTGCCATAATCGTTGTTTCGAAGCAGTTAAACAGAGTATTGTGTTAAAAAAAAAAAGTCAGATTTTTAAAAGGAAAATTAGACTAGCAATTTTTTTCCATTCCATTGTTCCTGCTCTAAGAGCTGCCTCCCTAAATGCATGAACACAGAATATCAGCTCACAACTTGTAAGGTTTTTAAAATTTTGAATGTTCCTCCATAGTAGAATTATTTCCCTCCCTCTCACCCAATCATTTCACTCTCGTACTGCATTCAAATCTTCCATCCACGAGGACAAAAACGGTATTCCTCCAAACCTTTCAAGGCAACTGCCATAGCCAAAGGTTGATACTTCCATAATTCTTATAAAAAAATAGAACTCTACCACAATATTCCTCATTCTCTGAACTTGAGCCTGGGAATAAAGTATAATTGCTCACAATAGCAGTAGCACCAAGCAACCAGGTTATCCTATAACAGATTTCACATAGTATTTGCCTAATGTTTTCCTAAATTCCTCAGCAGACTAAATGCACAATTTTGATAATGCAGTGTTTTCCTTATGACTGAAGTTACAAAAGCCAGCAAGGGAGAAAACAGATAAATTATATAGGGATGCTATTTAAAAAACAAAACAAAAACTACTAAATGCAAAAGAGATGTTTTCTTTGAAATCATGGACTCGAATCTAGGTCTATAAAGACCCATGATTTTGAGCAAAAAATATTTTAGTAGCATCAGCATGGTACAACTACACCAAATTAAAAAGTAGCATGTGAATAAAAAAAAAATACATGCTACCAAATTAAAATTTGAAAAGTAAATCAGGACAGGTTCAATTAGTTAAAAAAAAAAAAAATAAAAAAAAAAAGGATTTGCTTACTCCTCAGTAAGAAGCATGTTTCAGAGCAACATTCATTGATTTCTCAAAAGTATTCAGTACACTGAATGCACTTTCTTTTTCTATAATTTTCATATAGAAAGCACTTTTCCTCCCAAAGATTTCAAAGTGGACATGTTTATACCCATTTTTACAAATGTGGAAACTGACACCAACATCAAAAGAAATGCTTATCAAATAGCAAGACTGCCAAAAATGGAAATAGGCCTTTAACCACTGAACTAAGGATCAGGAACCTGCAACCCAGAGTCTGCATCCTGCCTGCAGAGGCACTGGATCCAGCCCACAAAGCAGGGGCTTTGTTGTTATTTGGAAGCTGAAAGCCAGCGTTCGCCAGCGGGCCATTTTGCCCACTCTGTGTTGAGCCTTGGCGAGGCACTTTACCCATGCTATCAATCATCTCCAGTAAATCCAAAGACGTGATTCTCCTGCTTTACTCAACATTGGTGTGGCCACAGCTGGAGTATTGTGTCCAGTTCTGGGCACTGCACTTCAACAAGTGTCCAGAGAAGGGCCATCCAAATGATCAAGGACTTGCATGGCGAGCCAGACGAGGAGAGGCTGAGGGATCTCGGATTCTTCAGCCTAAAGAAAAGAAGGCTGAGAGGGGACCTGATTGCAGCTTACCACTATATCAGAGGCGTACATCAGCGGCCCAGTGAACAACTGTTTACCAGGGCGCCCTGGGGGAAAACTAGAAACAACAGCCACAAACTCCTGGAAGATAGTTTCAGGCTAAACATTAGGAAAAACTTCATTACAACTAGGGTGTCAAGACTATGGAACAAGCTCCCCACAGAGGTGGTACAAACATCTACCCTAGAGGTCTTCAAGAGAAGACTGGACGGTCACCTGGCTGTGGTCATCTGACCCCAGATGTCTTTCCTGCTCATGCATGGGGCTGAATCCAATAATCTTTTGGGGTCCCTTCCAGCTCTATGATGCTATACCCTGAATGGGAAACAAAGAAGTGGCAGTGGGGAGAAGTGGCAGAGGCCAGCTCCTAGAGTGGGTCTGCCTTCGAACTAAGCTGGTTTATTCTGGCCCACCACTGGAAAACACTGCCAACCCCCTGTACCAGACAAGATAGCAACAAAGAACAACTGTTTTCTCTTCATACAGAAATATCCTGATTACATACATATAGAAGGTGCCATAAAACATAAGCAACAGTAAAAATTATTTAGATTGCAACAATGCATAGGACTTTAAAAACACAGATGACAGTACAGTCCCAGTCTATCAAAAGATGAAGAGGATCTTAAACTGTACAAAGAATGTCACTTACATATGTCAATCTGGGTTCATGGTGGAGGTGATATCTTTTATCAGACCAATAAGATTTTTTTTTTAAATGTCTTTAAGCTTTTGCAAGCTTTTGAGCACAAACACCCTTCATCAGGCATTGGAGAAAAGACTGGAAAAGTTCTCCTTGGTAGAAATGAAAAGTTCTCCTGGGTAGAATCCTATTTCATAGGATTTCACAGAGGAGTGAAAACATTGGTGATGCGTAAGGGGTGCACGCGCACCCCGAGCTACAAAAAGGCACCGCAGTGTTGGCAGCACCTATCGGGCGGTCGTCGCTCACCACCACCTCCCCACTCGTCGCCAACACCGCCAGCAATTGCCACTGGCCGCCACGGCCAGTGGTGTTTGCAGGTGGTTGCCACCGCCTCACCCCCACGCCACCAGGTTCCTGCCTCTGCCAGCACCGCTGTGCTCCCCCCCGCCCCACCCCACCCCACAGCGCTGGAGGCAAGCATCATTCATGGCTTAATAGATGGAAAATTCCTCTGGGCAGGCAGGTCTTGGCTGTTAAAAAGTCTCTCACCGCAGTTAAGACCTGCCAACCCAGAGGAATTTTCTGCTCCAAGGTACACATGCAGTCGCTGCCAGCATGAAGCTGATGCTGGAGCTGTGGAGCCTGGCGCAGCTGTTTGCAGCCTGCCCACCGCTTGCTGCAGCTGGCCCGAGCCCGGGGTGGCGACAAAAGTGGGGCTGGCTACAAGCTGCTGCACCGGGCTCTGGAGCCCAGTCATCAGCTCCCTGCCAGGAGCAGGAGGAGAGACTGGAGTTGCGCTGCCTCAGGTCCCATCCCCACTGTCCGCTCCGAGGTAATTGTGCATGCCCCAGTACACAGCTGATGCCAGATCCCGGCGCAGCTGTTTGCAGGGCTGGCGATGGCATGCCAAGCAAGATGGCCTTGCATGCCATGCTTGGCATGCGTGCTGGGGGTTGCTGACCTCTATTCTAGTTCCCAAATTTCATCCCAAACCATCTTCCACAATTCCATTACCTCAGCTTTCTCCAACAAATTCCAGATTCCATTCTAGCATCCATACCTTATTCCTCTCTCCACTAATATTCAGTCACACTCTCTCCCACCTCCTGTCCCCACTAAACACAGTTCATAAACAAGAGGGAGAAAGAGACCGTCTTGGGGCCACATTGTCACTTCTCACTTTAAAACACATGGGAGTTCTGAAAGAGAAAATTCTCTTGTGAGAATTCCTCAAGAAAAATTCCCATATCCATGCATTAGTTCTAGCCTCCACCACTTTCCATCTTTATTTTCCTGACAGCAGGATTCTGAATCGTGTCGACTGCCTCTTCCTCACCTTCCAGATACTGCTTGGGATTCTTCTATGAAAGGTTTCCACAGAATTCATAATACATCGCCAAGTTGTTTTCTCTTTTCCAAATAAATCAGCAGAGCCAAAAGAAAGCCAACGCAAGTCTCCTTAGCTCATTCCTCCCAAACTCATTGTACTCCCCCAACTTTGTGCCCACACCTGTACAGCACTCTGTTGGGTTTGGCAAATTATAAGATAGGACACAAATACAGAAGGGGACTGAACATATAGTGCTTTGAAGGCCACCACAAAAATCTTGTACCTGACAGTGACAATAAAGCCAATGGAGGGAGTGATGAAGTCAGAGCCATATGCAGCTGAGATGATCTCAGCACCTGCATTTTTACATAGTTTGAGAAATATGGCTATTGACAAAGCCTGTGAGGAGATTACGGTAATCAAGATGCATGATGAAGGCCTAAAGTAAAGTTTTAAAGATGTGACCGGAAACAAAAGAATGGATCGTACAAGCATGTTATGAGAGACATGGGTTTTCAAACTTTTTTAAGGAGTGTACCCCTTTTGGTAGGTACCCCTTCTGGAGCGTACCCCTTTCCAGACCGGTGGGGGAGAGGGGGGGCCAGATGCGAAGCCGGTGCTGTGGGGAAGTGGTCCATGGTGGCATGGAGTGGTGAATGTCGACGGCTGGGAAGTGGCACATGGCAGAGACACAGAGTGGTGAATGGTGGCAGCGGGGAGCTTCCACACAGCGGCTGCCACCTCCATTCACCACTCCACGCCACCACCACGCACCACTTCCCTGCACGTACCTCCTGGGGCCACCCAAGTACCCCCCGGCGTATGCATACCCCCAGATGACAACCGCTGATGTAAGACACAGTAAGATCTGGCCACTATATGGATTTCTAAAGGCAAAACAGAAGGGAATCAACAATTTATCTGACAGTACAATATCTACCTTTGCTGCTATAAGTGTATTTGTGCTTAGCCTAAATTCAGGTGTCCATAGCATTTTGCAATTAAGGATAACTTGACTAATTAAACACAATTAAATAAACAGTTATTAATCACAAATAAATGTGATTAATAAAACACAATTAAATGTAATAATACAATTAAAGATAACTTGATTTTTCTTTTATCTTTCTTTGAAAGATGACAAGCACCAAGAATTAAAAATGTTAGTGTAATTAAAAACCAAGTCCCTTACCTACTTATTCTTTAAGGTAGTATACACGTGTGTGTGTGTGTGTGTGTGTGTGTGTGTG